TGCCTTGCAACTGTCTTTTTTTTTTTTCACCCCTCAGGGCCATGTTTAGGGCCAGCTCAATTCATTTCATAGAATGTGCCCTATGCTTTAAGAGATTACTCATCTTTGCTTTTCATGTTTCATCCTGTGAAACAGTCTGCCCACTGCAGTCACTGTTGTAAAGTCTTCATAGTAAACACTGGCGTGTAACTTGGGAAGAAATAGGTCAGGGAAGCAGAGACCAAATGTTCATTTTGCAGCCACAGTGTGAGCAGATGGATAACAGAATGAGGTGGCTCTCTTTGTGGGCCTCGATTTTTTGTAAACTCTTCCAGAATCTCCTGGGAGTCATGCTCCTTCAAGATCCCTGAGAATTTTTAGCAGATGAACATTGAGGATGATGTCTTCCTGATATAAGACACCAAGGTCATTACCCTCCTTTCTGCTCTATTATCATACAGAGGCTGAATTTGATGAGATACATCCTTTCTCCCTCTTATCATCTAGGAATGCACAAAGAACACAAAATCTCTGGGAAACACTGCTAAACAGCTTGGCTCTTGACTGGTGATGAATGAGGGGCATTGCCCCTGGGTGGTCACCAGTGGCCACAACATGGATGAAACTCCATTTTGCCCTCATGCCAGGCAGTCAACCTGATAAGGTGGTTCCAAATCATTCATTGGCTGACTTTGCCTTTGCTCCCAAGGAACACAGAGTTAGAGAAGCTGTTAGAAAAACAAAACAAAAACAAAGAGTATACCTTTAAGGAATAGACTAGAATTCGTGCAAAGTCAGCAGAAAGATTAGCAATAGCAGGCATCCAGTGCCCAGGCTAGTGAAGAGTTAAGCTCTGAATGATTGTGGGAGGCTGGTGTTATGACTGGGGAACAACTGCCTAATGTCTTTCAACTGGACTGTTTAGCAAAGCTTCATTATGAATATAATTGTGTGCTTGTGCAGGCACACCACACAGAGGGAATGCTCACACTAAAGGTATGATGATATTGCCCGCTGCCATGCCAATTACTGGATATTAATGGCAGGATGGCATGCATATGCCGGAGCTGGGAAGCAGAAGGTTAATAGATGAACAGCACCAGAAGAGCCCATTTATCAGTTTCTATTTATCTCTCCTTGGGAGGTGGCAGGTTTACAGTAAATACCTTCTGTCCTCCTAATTTCCTAATGATGGGGATAATGATGGAGAATGGTGAAGTCATTAACTGGGACAGGCTCTGTGCATCACTCTGTCAACCACATCTCCCCAAGACCTGCAATGAGAAGTGATGGGCCCCAGCTGTTCACCAGAATCCGAGCCCCTCCTCCCATCCCCCCTACCCTAAACTACAGGCTTGGGAAATAGCTCCCCAAATGAAGAGGATGGAGGCCCTAGGTGGAGGAGCACGAGAGAAGGAGAGCAAGGCTCTTGAGACAGGAGTCCAGCTTTTCGTCTACTCTCCCTCTGCTCAGAACTTGGAGGAAGCACTGTTGACATATGCTGGAATGTTCTCCAGGGATGCCAGAGCCACTATGAATTATATGTAGAAATGGATAATGAATCAGTAATTGAAGTGAGTGAGCTGGGGGAGGGCGGAGAAGCAGAGTTCACCAAATGTTCTTCTTTTCAAAAACCTGGAAAAATTGAAAATATATATAATTCATCTTCTCACCTCACCTCTAAATGGACTGGAGATAGTGGATGAAAATCTCTTTTGCAGAGGTAAAATTTTTTCTTTAAAATTCTGAAAGCAGACTAAAACAGCTTAGATTGATTAGCTTGGATGTGCTTTTTTTCCATAATCGTGGTGATGAGGTGTCCATTCCATCTAATTGCTAACATAGAATCTTAGTTATTGCCTAGAAGTAACTTGGATTTGCCCCCATAATTTATAGAGCCCTTGAAAAACTATAAAGTTATTTTATATCTTTTTATTTGGGAAGCCCATTGGCTGTTTCTAGAATTTGCTCTCTATTAGTTGAGGCAAGCTGTTATTTTACCTGTATGTGTTGGGATTATTTTGCTAGCAAATAGTGGAGAACTACTTAGGCCAACAATAGCAAAATATGAAAGTGGATCCCAACAACATGTAGATATTTCAGGAGCAGGGACATAGGTGGGCCTCAAGAGTAGACTGATAAAATCGATATGAAAGTTGTTGGTACTCTCTTTCTCTTGCCTGTCTTGCTCTCTCTACCCACTTAATCCTTTTCTCTTTCTATAAATCTACTCTGTTCTCCTCATAACATAATATAGAAAATCGAGCATACCCAGTGCCCAGATTTGTATATTTCAGGTCCAGACCTTGAAGATAGACCAAATCAACAAATCCTAATCTGCCTCTCTCTCTCTCTTCCTGCCTTCCATTCCAGGGGTGCAACTCTCTTCCAGTTATTTTCCTGTATAGCCAGGGCATTGGAATCAGTCAGATGAACATGCGTACTGTGAGGATGGAGGGATGGGGAGTCACCAGAGAAAGAGAAATTATGAGCTTTTGAGACAACCTATAAGGTGCCCACTAGAGCTAACCCTCAGAGTATCTCCTGGTGGTAGGAAACAGGGGAAGAGCACAGTGCTATCAAGATTTGTCTCATGGGAAATTCACTTCAACAACACTGAACGTTGAGAAGCACTCTTAGCATCAGACCTGATCAGTTCCCTGTTCTGTTGCTTATTAGCTATATGATCCCTTTCCACCTCTCTGTGACATCAGCTCTGTAACAGGGATGATAGCACTGCATCTGCTAAATGGAGAGTCATGGGGATTAAATGAGCTGATGTCTCTAAAGTGCTCAGTCAGCACCCCACATAGAGAAAGTTCCCTATGTGTATGGTGGCTATTACAGTTGTTGTCAGTATGAATTTTCCAAATTTGACACGTTTCTGTTCTCCAAAGGTGAATCAGTCATTTGTAGCAAACATCTGGTAGAACTGTATTTTCAGAAATGGCCATAGTGATATTTCTAGTCCTACATGCTCTTCCAGATCATGGTCACTCCCAAGAAGATGTGGAGTTATTTCTCTTCCTCTTAGATTTGGGTGGACTTACCTCAGTGAACAGAATGCAGCAGAAGTGATGCTGAGCAATGCTAGATCATAAAATACAATATGGCTTCCACCCATAGCCAGCATCATGGGCATGTGACCTGTGCAGTTGCACAGGGCCCTGCACTCAGAAGGACCCCCTGCTTAGGTTAATGCTCTGTTGTTGCCATCTTGAAATTCTTAGTAATTTTTTAACAAAGAATCTATAGTTTCAATTATCACTGGGCCTCACAAATTGTGTTGCCAGTCCTGCTACCACATGGCTTTCCATCTCTTGGGATGCACACCTTGGTATCCCTAAACCGAAGTTTAAGAGACCAGCTATGCTTAATCCTTTTCTCTTTCTATAAATCTACTCTGTTCTCCTCACAAAAGCTTAGAGTCATAAATAAATACATATAATGTAAATAATACTAAATATAGCTATCATTTTTCAACATAATTCAACTTTTTTTGAGTGTTTACTATGTATTGGGTATTGCCATGGGTGCTGGAGAGCCAAAGGTAAATACGACAAATGTGGCCCCTGTCATCACGGAAGTTAGTTGGGTGTGGATAAGGAACAGTGAACAAACAGACACATTAGTGAATTTATAATTATAAATAATATTATGTGCACGGAAGAAAAAGAAATCATTGGGGAACCAACTGAGAGAGAACATTCAGGAAGGGCTCTTTAAGGAGACACATTTAGCTGAGACACGAAGACTGAAAGGAGCCAATCACGTGAACGCTGAGACAAGAGTGTGCAAGGACCCTGAGATCAGAATGGACTTTGCATTTTGGCTCAATGCCATGGGCTTTGTTAAGGGAGTCTTTTTGTCATTGGTGGGAAGGTTGGATATGAAGGCCTAGGAAAAGATCAAGAAAACTTGAGGAAATTTATCTTTTCAAGAAAATAAAGCATAGCACTTTTCTTTTATTATTGCCAGGCTCTCCTTTTCCTCTGTTTTCCCCTCTTAATATTTTTACCTCTGTGATCTATGAGACTTCTAGTAGAAGGAATTTTTTAAAAAACATAATATGAATACTAAAAAAAACACTTCTTTTGGGTAAATACAAGAAAAATATTATTGACTAATTGAGATTATTCTGATGGAATATTTAAATAGTATAGCATTGACTGAAACCTAAGGTGTGAAACATCCTTTTAAAGTTGGTTCATTCATTCAACCAATAAATATCTGTTATGTTCCTATGTGGCTAGTATAATGCTTGGCACTGGAAACAGTCTGTACTCTTGGTATATAATATCTAGATATTTACAATCTAGAATCTAGACTGTAGATAAAATATGAGCAAGTAAACAAGCAGTAATTATGTAGTTATATAGTAAAAGCCATGAAGGGTGAGGTACAGGTACTGAAGCATCTGATATGGATGTGGGATGAAATCAGGGATTATTTTAATGTGAACATAGCACCTCTGTTGGATAAGGTGACATAGATATTATAATTTTAGTGAAAGTGTTACTATCCATTCATAGATTATTTACTTGTGGCTTATCCATGATCAAAATTTTTTTTTTTTTTTTTAAAGATTTTATTTTTTCCTTTTTCTCCCCAAAGCCCCCCAGTACATAGTTGTATATTCTTCGTTGTGCGTCCTTCTAGTTGTGGCATATGGGACGCTGCCTCAGCGTGGTTTGATGAGCAGTGCCATGTCCGCGCCCAGGATTCGAACCAACGAAACACTGGGCCGCCTGCAGCGGAGCGCGCGAACTTAACCACTCGGCCACAGGGCCAGCCCCCATGATCAACATTTAATCTTAGATTTCTTCTCTCCTCCTTCTGGGATGTGTATTTAGTAATACTTAGCAAATGATGATTAAGTGAATTACAAAAAAATAATACAAATAACATTTTGTTGATCTGCTCTTTGGAGATCCTATGTGGGAAAGTGCCTAGGACAAAGTCAAGTAAGTATGCATTAATTATTAGTTTCCTTATTTATTTCTACTCTTTTCTCTTTACAGGTGTAGAAAGTTGATCAGGTTCAGAAACTTAGGACACTGAGAAGAATATGAACACTACTAAAAATATAAAGTAATAAAATTGGCAGAAAAAGGTATGAAATCAGGAGCTTGGCAGTTGTGCCTTGAATTTAAATTCCTTCATTCTGAGTCACAATCTGTAGTTTTATCACCTAAACATTGGAAAAGAGGTGTCAATGATTTCATGACTGCTCTATAGAATATAAAATGAAATAAATTAGTGGGAAAATGCTATCTCTTAATAATACAAATTTCCCTCAGAAGATCCATTTCCTGACATTGGAACAACTTCCTTGAATCATTCTTAAAACTAGCTTTTTAAAAAAAAAATTACTGACTCCTAGTTGTGTTGCAAAACTACGTATTAACCTATTTTAGGAAAATAAAAAGAAATTTTATCTTTGAATACATTTGGCAGTTTAATTAAATGCTTTAAACACTTCCTTACAGAGGCCAAGAAGCTATTTATTTTGTGGATTTTTTTTCAAGTCTCTGGTTGTCTGCACAGAGGAGCTTTATTTAAACACATGATGAAAATGAACAACACTCAAAGCTTATTTCAAGAATGTTTCCTTGACAGCTTCTCCATCTACACAGGGATTCTCAACTCTGGTGGGGACAAAGGTTATTAGAATTACCTGTGGCAGCTTTTTCCAGCTATCCATGTCCTTTGCCCTACCCTAGATTTAGAAGCATTGATAGACACTAGTGAAGAGTGACCCCTGGCTCTTCTAGCCTCTCCCAAAGACCCTTTCTTTAACTTCAGGATGAAAGACTAGAAACTGTCTCCATGTGAATGCTTCTCTGATATTCCTAAATAGTGATAAGGGCATGAGTTCTGAATCAGACTGCTGGCCTCGTCTCCAGATGCAGGTTATCACTTAGCAGCATTACAATCTTAGTTAAGTGATGAAGGAGATGCTGTGATGGACTACACAGATCCTCCTTTGGAAATGAGGGACTGCTGCCTCGAGAAAGTCTTCTGGCAGGCAGCTCTCAGAAATAAAAAGGCTCAGAGAAGTGTGCATAGTAGAGTAGATATATTATGTAAGACTGGAAAACCCACCAGAAGACTGTGTCCCATGGGAGAGACTGATGATATACTAATGAGATAGGTACCAGCATCACTTAGAAGTTCAGTTGTGGCTGCCCTCTGTAGCACAGGGCTGAAGGAGATGCCTTTGTGAACTGGGCTGACTAATAGCGTTGGAAATAATAGGATTCCAAAACAATGAGGCTATGTAGTAGCTCATAATCATCAGAAATTGAAAGGATATAATGTCAAAGTTAAAGGATGCCTGAAGGCTGCCAACTGACTTAATCCAGCAGCTGGGGCAACAAGTCCTTGTTTGAAGAGGATCTAAGAGCTATCTCCATGTTGACCACAGTGTCCATAAGGGCAGAATAAGTGGACAGTTAACAAGTGTATTACTTAATTTATATAATCAAAAGATGGGAATGTATACCCAAGAGGCTGAGGGCAGTTACCTCAATAAAAAGGTGCAATACTTTGCCCAGTTTCTAGACCTGAGCCCATTTACAGACCCAGAATGCACGTACTGAAGGAGATGCTGTATCCCCAGAGGGAGGCATGGTAATCATTCCCCCAGTCCTTCTTAAAAGAGACTCGTGGCAGTTTACTCAAGTAACTCTATCCTAGGTAAATGGGAGTATCTAGACATCTTAATGACTGTTGCCCACAAGGTTTGAGTTGACACTGATACCTGGAAACTGGAAGCATCATTGTAAGCCAACTGTTAGAGCAACTATTGTGAGCCAGAAACTTGAGAGGCAGAGGAGTGACATAATATGATTTATATTTTTAAAAGATCACTCTCTTTGGTGTTAAGACCAGATCCTAAGGGTAAAAGACTGAAAGTAAGGCAAGGAGGGTGTTTCAATAATCCAAGTGAGAGATTACTATGGCTTGGATCATGGTGGCAACTGTGGAGGTGGTGAGAAGTGGTCAGATTCTACATGTGGAGGGTAGAGCCATTAGAATTTGTGGACAGATTGGATGTGGGGTAGAGAGAAAGAGGAATCAAACATGACTCCCAAGTTCTCCCCATTTGGCCTTCATGCTCCACACTGATTTAGAAGGTTTCAGGATAATTTAGGAAACATTTTCAGGTACTCTGGTGAAGTAATAGAAGACTTTCTGGCACATACTTGTGAAGAACTTTTAAAAGAGGGAGGAGTTGAAAGTCTAATATTTTCACTCCTTGGGGGAAGAGTCGTATTATAATAAGCACTCCTTCCCAAATGCCAAGGATGGGACATCTATTAATATCACTTGTTCAGACCATATCTCTAAGTGTTGATGGATCTAAGCATATGGGCTAGTGGAAGCACAGTAATTGTGGTGGTTAATTTTCTGTGTCAACTTTACTGGGCTAAGGGATGCCCACATAGCTGGAAAAACAGTATTTTTAGGCGAGTCTGTGAGGGTGTTTCCAGAAGAGATTAACATTCTAATTGGTCTACTGAGCAAAGGAGATCACCCTCACCAATGTGATCTCACCATGATCCAATCTGTTGAGGGCCCAAATAGAACAAAAAAGGCAGAAAAAGGGCTCATTTGCTTTCCTTGCTTGAGCTGGGACATCTACCTTCTCCTGCCCTCGGACATCAGTTTTCCTGGTTCTTGAGCCTTTGGACTCTGAATTACACCACTGGCTTTACTGGTTCTCCAGCTTGCAGACAACAAATTTTGGGACTTCTCAACCTCTATAATCAAATAATAAATCTCTTTCTCTATCTATCTATCTATCTATCTATCTATCTATCTATCTATCTGTCTGTCTATCTCCTGTGGTTCTGTTTCTCTGGAGATCCCTGACTAACACAGTCATCAACTTCATTACTAGTTGATATTTATTAAATTTTTACTGGGAAGTGGTATTCAATTAATTATTTAGGAAGGATATTTAAAAGTATGTGCAAAAGCAAACCAAACAAAAAAACACCGTAGCTTGCTCCTAATTCCTAATACTGAAAACAATAAATCAGAATGAGTTGGGCAGTTTCATAATAATCATAGAGAAATAAAGTAGTAATTATAGCGTAATTATAGTACTAGTAGGTTTGAAAGGGACATTAGAGGCAATCTTGTTCAACCCTTATCTTATAGTTAAGAAAGCTGAGGCACAGAGAGTTGAAATAACTCAAGTTTGGCAGGACTTCAACCAGAATGGCTGTCTCTTGACTCCACACTTCATTCCTCTCCATCCACAAGACCACGCTTCCTGCTCTCTTAGCTCACAGAATATAGTAAAGCTACACCAATATGGAAACTTTAGCAATCCAAGATAGAAATACTTTTGTGGGTGAAAAGAAAAGGAGATTTTGAAGTTAGTTTTTTTATTTTTCCCAATAAGAGACAGAACAATGTATTGTATTTTTGGTTGGTATAATTATATGAGCCTAAGGCTTAGATGAAAAGGCATGGTGAAAGATTTGTGAGAAGAATGGGACAAGAAGTATGAGGAGTACAGCTGACATTGATATGCTGCAGTGCCAGTCTCCAATGATTCAGTCCACTAGGTATTGAACTGGACTCTCTAGTGATACTCCTTGTTGGTATCACATTTTGTAATCTCTCTGGGAGATGGAGAAACAAGTATGAGGTATACTGAAACTGGATAAGCTTATCTGTCTTGTTCATTATTTCATCTCTAAGACATACCAGTGCCTGGTACATAGTAGATGTTCAATAAGTACTAGCTTAATAAACTACTCATGATATGATTAAGAACCCAGACAAATACAGCAGAAAATAAAGTCTCTAGGAGTTTGGAAAGGAGCAATCGCTGTAGTCTGCAATTATTCGAGAATGTCACGGAAAATGAGAGCTTGAGGTAGTCAAGAGGAATGAGACAACTGAGAATACAGAGGAAGAAGGAGAAGGTATCCAAGTGGGGGAGGGTAAAAAGGCAGGAGGGAAGGGAACCTAGAGAGAGGCAAGGAGGTGGGCATTGGTGAGTTCTGAGGAGAACATAAACTTACTTAAGCTTTATTTACTTTTACCAGCTGTGTTACTTATAAGGTCAAGTGAGATATTTTCAGGGCCTTGATGTCTAGGCTGGCCCCTGAGCTAGAAAGAGCCATTGAAGTTTAGGAGGTCGGGAATGACAGTGATGCCCTTGAGCTACTCTGGAGGGGTCTCCTAGGGCCACAGCTCTTAGAGGAGATGGGAGGGTAAGGGAAGCCTTGGAGAAGTAGGGGGAGGGAGACCCCTATCCACTAGTCTCTCTGGCCGGCCCTGGGCTCTTGTGCTGCCCACCTTTTACCAGCTCTGATTCCTTCTCAGCATTTAGGCGCCGAAAGCTTATGTGAAGAACAATCTCTTTAGAAATTAAGGGAACCTCTCATGATCATTGTAAATTAGATAGAACAGGATTTTGAGATAAAATGATCAGGTTTTAAAGAAAAGTTAGTTGAAATTTTTTCAAAGAAGATGGGGCAATTTTTCTGATAATTAGACATTCTGAAACTATTGGTGTCTGCTTACATGTTTATTAAACGCAACACGTTCTTGAAGCTAAGGTGTTTGTTAGAAGGGTGAAAGGAGGGGGGGAAACAGTTTTCTAATGCTATTCCTACACTACCTGGGGCTCCACGTCTTTGAGAGCCCAGGTGAGGATCCTATGTTGTGGATCACTGGGAACAATTTGAAGTCTCAGGGAGAGAGTATGAAGGTTGTTCCCTGCTGTGGTTCTTTCTCCTTACAGTTTCCCAGCCACTGCTACAGAGAGACCAGAGAAAGCAATGAAAATGTCTGTATCTAAAAACTCCAGCCTGCTTTAGAAGCAAAATTACCATGACGGCGTTACATCTGGATGCATCAGCTCATTTAGCAGTTGCCTCCTTAGCTTTGAAACATCAAGTATGACATAAATCAAGATGTACATTAACAAAGATGGTATAAAACATCTGTGGATTCTAAATAAGGAAAAAATCACATTAGTCACCATGCGAACAATGTGTGTGATAATTTCCATAAAAGCAGAAGGTATCCAGGAACTCAAACAGACAAAAGAGCTGAAATAGACTGTTAGCCCAATGCGAATAACGTACCAAAGGAACTAACTGCTGTCTCTCTCTTTTTTTTTCCTGAACAAGTAAGGAATATTTAAACAAATAGAATGATTCCATTTCTTTAAATTAAGACAGATTCTTCTTGAAGGAAAGGGAAAATCATTTCTTCTTGGAGCGCATCATCGCTGGCAGGTGACCCTCTGGTGTGTCTGAGAAGTCATACGCTGCCCGTGTGGGTTTGCTGGAACAGTTTCCTGCTGAATGCTGGACACAAATTCTGCCTCTAAAATTCTTGACTACGGTCAGTCTTGAAGAGAGGTGAGCCCCGAATACCCCATACCCAAAGTCAAGGGCATTCTTATCTCAGGCGTGGTCCTTGCAAATACTTTTTGGCATCAAATAGCTTATGTGCCCAATTACATAATGTTCTCAATGGATATATTTCTACCAGCAGCAAAAAAGAGCCAAAGATGGTTGATTGTGTGCATTACGAGGCAGTAAGAGAAATTCCCAAGTTACGCCCTTTCCTCTTCCCTGGATAATGACATCTGACATTAACTAAGTAGCCTTCAAAAGCACAGATGCAGAGAGTTGTGGGGATAAGAGTCAGGTCTCCTTCTTCCTTTGTCCTTAAAAATCATAAAACTTTTTATTTCAAAAGCCGTTTTACCTGAAGTGAGCAGTTTGTTTCATCTGTAATTTGTGCTGGATAACAATGAGAATGATGTTTTCATTATTCGTAGTGTATCAGTCTGTTCCTTTCCTTGCCCCTATTAACAATAAAAACCCATGCAGTTTTCAGCCATTATCATTTTTCTCCTGATAAACCATCTGTGACATGGAGACCTTGAAGCTGGGAGTTCTGGCCACAATGCTCAATAGACTGTGCACGCAGCTTTTTCAGAGGTAACTGCTGTAAAAAATCAGCTCCACCGTTATTCCTCTCTCTTATGATTTTTCTCTCGCTCCTTTTTATATATCGAATGTAATGTGAGTTCACATGAATTCAGCCAACAGCGTTTTGCCTGACAATAGAAACTACATCTAAGGCTCTTACTGGGGCTAGAGTTGTCCTTTCCCCTAATTCCAGCTGCTCCTGCTGCTGTCTCTGATCGAGGAGCTAGAAGGAAAATATCCTCACCACAGAGCTACTTTGCCCATCTTTTATGGAGTCTTTCCTTTCCAGGGTTCAGGAGCCATCTGCCTTTTGGACAGACAAGGTCCATGTGAACTGACCTTGCCACAAGTAAAATGAAAAGGAATCAAATGACAAAGTTGTCTCCACCAACTGGTTTCATTAAAAAATAAGCACACGTAGCTCTCCAGAGCCTGCTGGTTTTGACCTCAAGTCTTTGTGAAGCTGCAGTGATATTACGTGATAAAATGGAGATAAGCTCTAAAAATCAGATATAAAAGTAGATCTAAAATAGATGCTAATGGATCAGTTTTTGTGTTTGTGCATGTATTAGGGTTCTCCAGAGAAACAGAACCAATGGAATGTGTATATGTATATGGAGAGATTTATTTTAAGGGTTTGACATACATGATTATGAAAGCTTGGCAAGTCCAAAATCTGTTGGGGAGGCTGGCAGACTGGAGACTCAGGAAAGAGTTGCAGTTTGAGTCCAAAGGCAGTCTGCTGGCAGAATTCTTTCTTTCTAGGGAGAGGTCAGGATTGTTCTATAAGGCCGTCATGGGGCCGGCCCCCAGTGGCACAGAGGTTAAGTTCGCACGTTTCGTTTTGGTGGCCTGGGGTGCGCCATTCAGATCCTGGGTGCAGGCATGGCACCACTTGGCAAGCCATGCTGTGGCAGGCGTCCCACATATAAAGTAGAGGAAGATGGGCACGGATGTTAGCTCAGGGCCAGTCTTCCTCAGCAAAAAGAGGATTGGCAGCAGATGTTAGCTCAGGGCTAATCTTCTTCTTCAAAACAAAAGGCCTTCAACTGATTGGACGGTGCCCACCCACATTCTGGAGAGTAATCTGCTTGATTCAAAATACATCATTTTAAATGTTCATCTTATCCAAAATACCTTCACAGAAACATCCAGAATAATGTTTGACCAAATATTTGGATACTGTGGCACAGCCAAGTTCACACATAAAATTAACCATCACAGTGCACATATTAATGTTATGTAAACAATACCCATAATTAGATATCATTTGGGAAGCTTCCAAAATCTCCAAAAGTCATCTGGGCAGGCCAATGCTATTATTTTTCCATAAATATCCCGAGGACAAAAGATTACATTTTTTATTTTAGTTATGGACTGTTATTGTACACATATGATCAGGAAGTTCATATGATCAGGAAGTTCTCTGTTGAGTCTACCCTAGGTTGTGGTACCCGGTATTCTATTGTTCTCTCAGGGAGTCTTCCTATATTAATGGACATCTGTACGGTCCATTATATAGTCACTTAAGTAGTAATTTTATTTTTTTTAAAGATTGGCACCTGAGCTAACAATTGTTGCCAATCTTTTTTTCTGCTTTTTCTCCCCAAATCCCCCCAGTACATAGTTGTATACTTTTAGTTGTGGGTCCTTCTAGTTGTGGCATGTGGAACGCTGCCTCAGCGTGGCCTAACCAGTAGTGCCATGTCCGCACCCAGGATCCGAACCAGTGAAACCCTGGGCCACCGAAGCAGAGTGTGTGAACTTAACCACTCGGCCACGGGGCTGGCCCTTAAGTAGTAATTTTAATCTCTATCCTCAAATAAGAAATTAAGTTGTTGCATCAAAGATACACCTTATTTTAATTTTTTTGAATTATAAAATATGAACACTGTATATGTATGTATATGTGTGTGCGTGTATAAATTTTTATTTTTTACCAAGTCATTGAGTGTTTATAATTGGAAGAAACTTTGTCTTCAGCTCATAATGCTTTGGGAGTGGATCACATTTTATCTTTTTGGTTGAATTTTATTTTTCTTGTGAGAGTATCTGAACCAAAGATAGAACTTGGTCCAGAAGAGGGCATCTCACCTGTTACCTCCTGAGCCCCTCCTCTGTTCTCTTCTTTCTTAACTGAGCTGTAGGACCCTCTCCCTTTTCTACTTTACCTCAAAAGAAGAATGACACAAACATGAAAAGAAATACCAAGCTGAAGAAGGAAATGTGCATTTTAGGGGAAGGAAATGTCCTTTTATACATAAATTGAAAATGGAGGCTCAGTGCTCTACTGTTCTTAGAGAGTGGACAGGCATAAGCTCACTTGAGGAGTGCAATTAATATTAATAGTATGAAAACGAAGTTAACATAATTGTTTCTCTTAAGTGGGTTTGTATCAAGTTTAATTCTGTTTTGTATCCCATGAGACTTTTATATTTTTAGTAATAATAAGAATAGGTCAGATTATCCTGTAGAAAGTTGAGTTTAGGATGTATCTTCCTGGTAGTAAATTGTTCCTTTGAAGTAAATTATCTCTTATAGGCAGTTTAGGTTCCTGGGAAAAATAATTTCCCTCAAATGAGATAAGAGGCAAAGGTTATTACTTGCCTCATTCTACTTGGGACCAGGTTCATAATAACTATGCTAATAACCAGATAAAACATTACAGAGATGTAGACATTAGTATCATGGGGGGAGGATTAATAACTTTTGGATCTAGTCTGATCCGATTGTTCTTATTGATGGAAGATGTTCTCAGCATCTGAGTTGAACAGGAAAAGTAAAACTGAGCAAAACTAGAGACAAATGAATCAACACGTATTTGGAACAATAATATTTAGAAATATTTCTAATTTAAAGTTTATAATGAATTTTAAATCTCGTTTGCTAGCTGCCATGGCCCAGAAATTTGACTATAGTCAAAACCTGTTTTATTCTTAGTTTTGTCCCTATTTAATGGTTAGGCATGTCTTTGAATCAAGAACATTTTTCACTTGCAAAATGGATGAAATGAATCTGATATATGTATTAGGAAACTGGCAAATACTATTTATCAATTGTGTAGTTTGGGAAAACATATGATACCGATGTTAAATTCAGAATATTTAACTTCTTCACAGAATATAAGTATTACTAAGTCAGTATTACTATTGGATATTTTCAAATGTTCATTTTACTAATTTGATATAAGGCCTAGAGAATAGTTCAGAGGATGTCCTATCTCCATTATTCTGGAGAAGTATATTAAGAAGGGTAATCATAGGTCATGGAGAGCGCCTATTCATCCAACAAATATTTATTGAGTGCTTACCATGTGCTTTATGTGCTGTGCTAGGTACGGGGTGCATTGTGTACAGCAGAGGCATGGTCCCTGTCTCATGGGACTTCAAGTTTAGTGGGGAAGATGCACAATAAACACACACACACATACGCATAGCTTTGTGATGAGTGCCACAAAACAAAAGAACTGAGTGCTAAGAGAGAATAACTTTGGTGGTAGTTGGTTGATGGAGGTCTGCTTTAGACTAGACGGTCAGAAGGATTTCTCTGATTGGATGTTCAGGCTAGAGTGTGAAGGATAAGGAGCCTGCCGTGCACAGAATGAAAGCAAGCATTCCAGGAAGAAAGCAGAGCCTGCGTGAAGGCCCTAAGGCAGAAAGGGCTTGGGGGATTCCTGAAATTGAAAGAAGGCCCATGGACTGGAGCCTAGAGAGCAAGAGGGATAGTCAGGGCTGGGCGGGAGAGGGGGGAAGAGTTGGGGCTGCAGTGTTCAGATTGTCACAACCATTGCAGGCGCTGGGCTCTTACTCTAAATGCAGATGGAATTCACTGACAGATTTTATACTGAGGTAAGGACGATATGATCATTCAAACAAGTTTGAAAACTCTTGATATTTATTTCATGGTTTTAAAAGTATAGGATTTTGATATTTTTTCACATGTAATCTTCCATATTCTTGGGTTTTTTGTTTGTTTTTTGCTTTCAAGTCATTTTCAGTAGAGAAGTAGCAGTCATCTATAATAATTACTTAGAAGAGAGGGAAATTCTGCCGCTTGACATTGGGAAAGTTGTTTAACCCCTCTTCCAAGCCAGAACTCTGAAGGTTAAAAATAAAATATGGTAAAGTAATTTTAAGGAAGTGATCCAAGAATATTTGTTTTGAAGTGTGTTTCCATTTTATCGTGTTACTGACTGCATTCTTTCTAAAGCTCTGGGCAGGGGTGTTGTTCTCCAGAGGTAGTCCACAAACGTATACAGTGGTTTGCAAATACCATTTCAGCAGAGCTGTTGTCTACTCTTCCCTGTTTGACCTCACAATGGTCTAAATCCTTTCGACCCTCTTGCGTAAGGCAGGAGAATGGGGGAAAATACTGAGGTTGTCATGATAAAACAGTCCTTCCTCGGGAAACGGAAGGAAACATTTCTTTGGTTCAGTACCAGTCAGAAACCCAGGGCAAATGCAATCACAGGAGCATACTATTTCCCCACAAAGGGTGATGAGAGTATTTCATGGTGATTTTGAGTGTGTATATGTTCTTTAAATTGTTGAAGATGAAAGAATGGAATTTATTGCTTCAGGTGAAAGAATAAAATTACAAAACTCTATTCTTGAAAAAAAAACCGAGGTGTGTTACAGTAATAAAAGGAATTATAATTATAAAATATGATAAGAGAATATATATGGACCACGTATGTTTTCTCTAAAAGTGCAAAATATTTATGAGTTCAGAAATTTATAGTTTATGTAACCTGTTTTCCCTCATATTATAAGTGGGTGAAGTCAGAATTCTTTTCTGCTTGCCTGGAATGTATTCCTACTTGCTGTGGACGTTGTGCGTTTGAGGCCGGATTCTGTCTGTGACGACCTGTGCCCCCTGCTCTGGTCATCAGTTTTCTCCTCCGTAAAAGCAAAGATGAGGTGGCTGGAGAGGTGCCTGCCGGGGCTCACATCCGGGATATTCCTGCTGTCTGCGCGCTTGCCCAGAGTGGGGTGCGTGGCTGGTGCAGCCCGGGCACTGCTGTCTAGCCGCTGGTGGACTCTGTGCCCTTGCCTGGAAGGTTTGGAGAAGAAAATTAAGTCCAGTTTGAGAGATTCTCCTTCACTCTTTAGAAAGTTCCAGGAAGAAATTACACACGCTGTGGTCATGATTGACTAGGGTGAACAGGAAGGAGACTGAAAGACCGTAAGGTGGTTTCCATTAAGGAAGAATTTTACTCCAGGGGCACATTATAGTTAAGTTTCTTAGTTAACAGTCGTGTAGTTTATTAGTCTCTGACCTTGTGCTGCTGACTTGAAGCTATGTCACTTGCGCCTGATTCTGTGTCCTCTTGTTTTGCCTGCTTTTGAAAGAAGAAATAGGTTAAAACACTTAACTTAGGACGATACTGCTTTTACACTAAAACCTAGAGTTGAAGTTAGTGTGTGAGACGTTTGGCCACTTCAATCTGTGCCTAGCATAGGACTGATTTTCTAAAATGTGGTTCTTTTGTTAAGGCTCATCTGCCGATACTCTCATAATTTTGCCACATACCCCAGATAAAGCCCCTGAATGGGAATACTTAGACATGTCTTCAGTGAAGTCATTTCAGGTATTCTCTGAAATAATCCTTTCAGAAATTCCATGAGCTAGATAATATCCCAATTTTAGAGACAAAACCAAGGATCAGAGAAATTAAATGACGTATCCAGAGTCACAAGTGATAACTACTGGGACAGAAAGTGTCCTACTGGTGAAGGAGGTGAGCAATCACGGACCTATTGGTTTTTCCCTTGCTTCGCCAGCATACTAAATTCATCATTTCTGCAGTATTAAATATGAGAATAATGAGGGCACAATCAGAA